AAATGCAAATGAACTATGTAAGTAACAGCATGCAGATAAACAAGGATTAAGTTCAGTAACAAGGCTCCATGCAAACAGAAAAGGTTGCTAACCTAATTTGGTAAATAATGCATCGCTGTCTCCAATTGGCCTCCATTCATATAAAGTAGAGCTGACTTGAACTCATAATTATAATGACACCTTTGTGTGTATATCAGGTGTCAGGACTGAAAGTATTAAAATTTAATCAGATTGGCTAATCTGGAAGGATGGTTTAGGTCTACTGAGCCCATTCAGGCAAGCTGACTTTTCTATAATCAATGGATTTAGAAGTTTTCTCTTCTATTTCTTACTCCAATCCTGTGAAAGTATTATTGATTAATAGGCTAAGGGAGATATGCCAATGGCATATCATTTCTTACTCAAGTGCTATATTCTATATTCTTTCCTTCTACAACTGTTTTAATCTTACAAATGTTCACCAAAAACCCCTAAAATGGTTAAAGTCTCACTTTCCTTTCTGACTATCTTTATCCTCCTTAGACATGAACCAGAGTTACAGCCATCAATATATAAGTAGAAAATGTAGGGAGTTTCTCATAACTTGATGTAGTTAACACTCCTAGTTCCAGAAGGATCTAATACAGACAGATTATATCCAAATGTAGGACAGTACTGCCAACTGCTACTCCTGTGGTCCTGCCTGGGCCCAGAGCATTCCAAGAATATTAATTTTTTCTGACTAATAACAAATAAAATTCAATGTTGCTAAGCCTGAGGTTACCACTGTTTCCTCCATCCAAGTCAAACTGCATCTGTGCATCTTCCTTTGATTTATTCTAACAGAGTCTGTCTTAAGTTCTCTACCACTTGTTAAAAAAAATTTAACATGCATTGAGCCTTGCCAAAAGTGAGAATACCGTGAAATTATGGGCTGAAAAATAAAGTGAAGTAGAAGAAATTGAAAAAGATAGCTTATTTAAAGCAGGTATTATCTCCAGTAACATTGTTCATTCTTTAAAGGATCTAAATAAAATATTCAGGTGATCATCCAAAGATGATGATTTTGACTTTAAAGGTAGATTTAGGAAAAATACAGTGCTATTGATTTGACTGATTGAGACTCAGTCTTTCCAGATTTTTTTTTCTTCCAAAAAGACAATTTTAAAACTTCATCAGTACTGCATTTTGGAAGGAGAAACACACATAAATAGATTTACCAATCAGTACTGTATATTAAAATGCCTGCTTTAATCAGAAAAGTAAAATAAGAAAACATGAATAAATTCTACTTAATCTTTTATAGTCATGCTGAATTTACTTTTTTGAAAAATAGCATTTAGTTGCACTATCTTCCCATTTATCTCTTGATTTTGGAACTGTTGTGCCAAAGTGATATTTCTGCAATGCTAAAATACGTTACATATTTGTCATTGTATAACATAATGACATTATGTTAAGCATTAGTGATGTTTATATTACAAATGTTAACCCTTGAGATTACCAAATGACTATACAACAATGAAATCTGTCCAGTTTAACCAACTGTAATATTTTCAAATGATTTAAAGAGCCAGGCAAGAGAATACGGGCATTTATTCAGATGCTACCTGTCCAGGAAAATTAGTATTCCTCCCCTTTTTTAAACTGTTAGCAACAGCTTTTTTTTAAAGTATTTTTTAATTGGCCACAACAAAAGAGTTAAAATTTCATAAACAAAAGTTTAGTTGTTTAGGCCCGTTAATTCATGGCTTTGACGCCTAGTAATTTAAAAGTGCTTGAGTTTTTGCCAACCCCACTTTACAGTTCCAAAATCTCAGTATGTATGGGAAAATTTTCAAAACTAACTGTTGATTCTGGTTTGCTAAGCGTCTAAAAATATAAATATTAAATCAACTTTTACTTTCATTTAACATTTAACATGGAAGTAAAAATTCTCACTTTCTGCTGTAACAACAAAACGATAAAACTAAGACATCTTTCAATAAGTTCTTAACACTCACTGGACAATTTCTACTGCAAGTCATCTCAACTAATGGGACAAAGAGGATGTGGGAACCTTCCAGTAGTCCAGGCTAGGAACCGCTGGACTCCTTCACCTGGGACAAAATTAAGCAGATCTCTCTTTCCACTGAAGCCCAGCATATAGTGTCCACGGGCTCCAGGTCTAGAGCTGCTGACCAGGCACAGTTCTCTGCCACAAATAACACGCACAGAGGCAAATAGGAAATTCACCCAGGAATTGTGCTCAAACACAACAAACCTGCAACACAGGGGAAAGCAGAAAAAGAGCTGCAAAATAAGGGGAAGGATTTTTATTTTGGTGAAAATTTCACTAGCAAATTACATAATATTCCAGGAGATGCCAAATCAATAAAATTCAATTTGCTCAAGTTGATGGTATTTTGTAGTTGAGTCAATTTTTTTCATTACAAAGTAATAACACTTCTTTCTTAGTTTTGTGGCTTCCAAGATAGGAACAAACTATATCCAAGTGCATCTGTACTGCACATATGTGGCAACACAGACACACATCTCAATCCCCATACACACTCACGTGCACGCACACACACACACACACACACACACTCACTGAAACAGCTGATCTTAAACACAGTATATCAGTATCTATATTGAGTCGGAAAAAATGCACTGTAAATTTATTTGGTAGAAATATCAGAATTGTCCCAATAACAAAAGGGTAAATTCATGGTTATAGCACTGAATAATTTATACCTGAGAAGCAGTACATAGTTAGAGATGATGTGAACTACAGTATACCACCAAATTACTGAGATTTAAATATATACCAGGAAGGAATCAAAGCACCTCCTATACCAGATACAAGGAGTAAAGCATTTGTTAATGGTGCTTAGTGCAGAAATTTAGTATCTAGAAAGCATTTTTAAAAATAGAATAATTAAATTCATTGTTTAAATAAAGGCTAGTAAAGCTCTTGGGCTCTAACGCACGTTTATAATTTTATATAATTCATAAAACGGGTATTTCTGCAGCTCTCTCTTTCCCCCAGTGTTGTAGGTCGACACAGCAAAAGAAAAATT